AAAGCCACAAACCCCAGGCAACATCGTTTCCTCGAGAAGCCCATGTTCAGGTGTAGCTCTGCCGCAGCCGAGAAGGACAGCCCCAATCTCGGCACGAGAATGCCGCCAGTCGCGTGGCGGCCTCACGACAGCGCCATCCGGAGAAGACGGAAAGGGAGGTCTCGGTCTCCTCAGCCGACTCCTGTCCTACCCTCAGCGAACTAGCGCGGCAATGATCAGCTAGCCCCGAAAAAGGAAACACAATCTCCAACAGCAGCAAAAGAAACAGAGGTTGACTTCGCCCCGCGGAAGGGACTGTTTCCATAGAGTGAGTGGTCCCGGGGGATCTGACATCCGAGGTTTACGTGGTAGTTAGCAACCCACTCTAAGCCATGCCACCACCGAACCCCAACGACCTGCAGGCCAAGCTTTTTTGGTTTCTTCGGACGGATGCCAAATAGGGGGGTCAAAGACACACATACACATACTACCCGAGCGTTGGGACGAAGCTAAATGCGGTGCCACACCATGTTTGGCTACCTACCTTGCCCCATGCTGACATGGGTCCAAGCTGTGGGAGCTAATTGCACACACACACACCCAATTCCCGTTACCAAGGCGAGGGAGACATCCTCAGCCATGGCGTCTGGGACCAGGTCGACGACATCCACGCGATGCACTGGGCTGGAGTCGTGTCGTGTCTCGCTGGCGAGGGCGCGACGGCCAAACACAGCCGCGGCCATGGTGCCGTCGTCCCGCGCCAATGTTCGGATCATGTTTCGAAAATCAATCCCGGCTAAGCGCCAGGGGGAGGGAAGTAGGGGGGCCCAATTGGTCTCCGTGTAAACATGGAGCTGAATGGGGGTACTCTGACTATCCGTATGTGCTTTGAATGGTATTGCGGCCAAATCCCCCCCATAAGCAGCCACGACAATCCCTCCGTAATCACTCAACTTCATCACTCTTCATGGCCACAAACCATCTCCTCCCATCTCATCAGAAACGATAACCAAACTCGTTCATCCCATGGCAAAACAAGGGAGAAAGCACGCTACCGTTTGGGCAAGTTTCCTTTTCGTGCCGAGTGTTCCTGGGAAGAGAGGGCACCGTGTGTGGAGAGGGAATGCCGGGGAACCGCTGGACGCCACTAAACTTTAAAACGTCTCGAGATGCAGGTTTTGGGGCCTAGCCAGGGGTGGTTGGCGGCTAAGTACCTAAGGTAGGGAGGGGATGGTCGCGACCCCTCTGCGCCTCAGAGTCAGCTTCTACAGAATCATCATCACTGTCACCCATCTTGAATGGTGCCAACATCCCCAATAATTCTCCACGCGCCCCAGTCTCAGTTGGGGAGGTCAAAAGAAGGTCGTTTCCGACATGTAAAAATAAGGTTGCCCCCATCACCATTCCAGGAGAAAAAAGGCCACCCAAGCCCCAGCTCGGTTAACCCTGTCTCCGCAGCTGTTGCAACTTGCACCACAGCCCCTCCTCGCGTGGGACCCGAGCCGGCATCCGGGACAACTCACCAAGATGAGTCGCCCAACTGGTGAAGCTGGTGACCTTGGCGGTCGTGGGGTCGGCTCAAACAATCTGCCCGGAGCCGACTTGCGGACGGGACTCGACGGACAATCACCACTGCGTCCAGTCGCGGCTCCCGTCAGCGGACTCACGGATGCTTTTTCTGGTCGGTGAACTTGTGCAAATTTTCGCTGGTATTGGTAATGGTTTGCTATGCTCTCAGATCCAATCTGACAAACAATGACTGATGGTCCAACGCCAATGAATCCTGACTCGCAGCCGATTACCCGAGATCCAAATCCCCCAAAGAAACAGAACAGCAATTGCTTTCGTGACAGACGTGACGTGACGGCCATAAACATTTTACACACAATCAGTAGATAATAACAGAACGCATGGACCACGCGACGTGTCCTATCAGATGAACTCTCCTCACTCTTCGTCGCTCGAGCTGGAGGATGCCGACGCATTTCCTTCGCCGCCTGCCTTCTTGTCCTTCTTGCTCTTCTTTCCCTTCTTCTTCTTCTTCGGCTTGCTTTCGCTCTGCTCTGGCTCGGCGACGTCGATAAGGGTCGACGCCTGGCTGGGCTCGACCTCTCCACCGGAAGACAAGGCTTTCGTCATATCAACTAGCAGCTTCTTCAGCTCCTCGACCTCGCCGCGCAGCTTCTGCACCTCGGTAATGGTCGGGTCCGCCTCAAGGTTCGTCTTGGCGCTGATGCATAGCTTGTTCCAGCCGTCGGCCTCAAAGTCGACCTGGTCCATCATCTGCTCCCACTCCTCGATCGTGTCGTCGTCGTCCTCGCCGCGGGCGCGGTTGCTGCGGATCTCGCCCGCTGTCTTCGTCTCGTGCCACGCCGCGATGACCAGCACGGGCGAGTAGATGATGCCCATGATAATGTCGCTCATGCGCTCAAACTTGGACTTCTCCATCCACCAGAAGAGGCAGATGACCAGCATCTCGAGCAGGTTGAAGGGCGGGATGTACACGTTCTCGTCGGGCGCGCGGACGAACTGCATCGTCTTCTGGGCGAAGAGCGCGAGGTACTCGTCGTTGGCGTTGCCGTAGATGTCCTCGTACGCCGAGTTGTACAGGGCGATGAGGATGTTGAGCAAGACGACCTGGGACGGGTTAGCATGCGCGGAGAATAACACGCGGAAATGCACTTACCATGATGATAAACGTAAAGCAGTAGTACAGAATGATTCCGAACGGCGGCGAGAACTTGTCGAATCCGTCAAAGTCGGGGCTCTGCATCACAGCATTCGCCATGGCCTGCAGGATGAAGAGGATATCGTCCGCGACCCAATCGTCAGCAAAGTCCAAGCCGATAAAGGCTTGCAGGAAGCCAACGACCAATACGATCAGCAGGGCAAAGAAGATGATGGACTCCTTCATCATGACCTTGAGCACCACGAGCATGGCGCCGAAGAAACGGAAGCTGTCAAGGTACAGCAGCAGCCGCGACCAGATCATGGGTGCACTAAACGCCAAGAAGTTGTAGCTCATCTTGCTGTAGAACTCGCGCGTATCATCACCCTGTTGATGGGTGAGGCCAATGATGCGGAGAACAAAGGACAGGGTGATGAAGCCGTAGAGCACGCTGTTGAAGGCGTTCCAGAAGCCCAGGATGTGGTAGCCTGCCTTCCAGAACTTGGTCACCTCTTCGGAGATGAAGCCGAGGGTGAAGATGTACAGCAGGACCTCGGCCGTGTCAAAGACACCAGTCGGGTTGACGGAGTTGATGACGGCGGTGTAGAGACCGATGTAGACGAAGGAGATGATGACTTGGGTGGCGTTCTGGTACATGGGCGCGCGAATGCGGTCGGGATCCATGTGGACGAAGAAGCTCGTGTTGTCCTTGTCCTTGTAGTCGATAAAGACGGCCGGATCGTCTTCGTCCTGGACAAGCCAGCCTTTCCAGAGGTAGGAGATGCACTTTTGGTATCCCGAAGATCCAATTACCCTCACGGCATGAAGGTCGACGGCCTTCTCGACGACGTTGGCGGGCGGGGTGGCTTCGCCGTCGACGATGATGGAGTATCGACGGAGCAGGACGGAATGCATGAGGTACTCGAAGTCGTCTTCGGTTTCGATGCTGCCATCGTGTGATTAGTATACTGCCGTCGATCGTAATAGATGGTGGACTTACATCTGCTTGGCCACCACTTCGCAGGCAACGGCTCGGACCCTGTGCATGTCGGCATCCCAGAGCTCGACGAGGGCCTGGTGCTTGAACCATCTCTTGCAAACCACCAGGCAAAACACGACGCAGGAGCGGTAGTGAGGGCCACCAGCCTCCTTGGCGGCCTTGATGACCTTGGTAGTGATGATTTTGCTGTGTGCCTTTGTGATTTCCTCCTCGTCGAGCTCGCACGGAACAGCAAGCTCGATCAGATGACGCAGCTTGAGGGCGACCTTTGTGACTTCGGCGGCGGGGATCGCGGACTGGATGTTCTCGTTTCGGTATTGCGGGAGGACTGGATAGGGCCAATTGTTAGCATTCTTGACCTACCAAAGGGAAGTGAGGCGGCAGGAGGCTGTCATCCGAGGTGGGAGTGCATGGGACGACGGAGAAGGGATGAACACGTACGGCGTCTGCGGTCGTCGCGAATCCAGTCGGCGTGGAAATCGTGATGGTGTCTGGGATGCTTGTCCCAGCCCATCAGGCGGGAAAACCAGCTGGACCGAGCCATGTCGAATGCTCCGAGCGGTTATCTCTTCGGGTGTCGTCGTTCGATCGTATCGTCCACAATTGCCGTCGTCGAGTCTGTCGGCCGATGATCGCGAGAAGCCGCAGTGGTATGCTCAATTGACGGCGTCAGACGTCGAAACACCAAGATCAGACCTGGGGAGAAAAGTCTGGACGAAGAGAGCACAGCACCGGGAGAAGTTGGCGTCGTGCGCGTCGTGGTGGCTGTCACATCGTTTTTCCTTGTTTTGCCGCGGGCGCTCAGGAGGCCGGAGCTTAAGCTGCTGCTGCGCTGAAGGTGACGTCGACCGACAGCGGGGGCGTTGAAGCGCACGACCGGGGATACGTACCTCTCTATCAGGACGACACCTCTTTTTGCTGGGACCGATGATAATCAGAGACAAGCACCCGCACTTGGCGCTAACATTCTTTCGGGAGCACCCCACAACGCCTCGGCCAAAAACTTGGCTGCCACGCTTCTGGCGCCGTTCCTCACACCATCACGTCCAAGACAGACGTCGCCGGCGAGGTGCTGTTGGTTGGGGAGGTTACACACATACTCAGAGTTCCAGCCATTGACTCCATTCCACGTTCTTGGCGCTTTCGGGTTGAATCTCGTGGCTGGTTTGTGCTGCAAGCTCACCACCAAACACCCTCAAACTCATGATTGCCTCCCGTCTCTCGATGATCCTGGATGTCTCTGTTGTGTCCAAAGATGTCTATTATTCCCGGCCGTTGATCGAAACACGCTTCCCCCTTTCTATCTTTAGCGCCCAATAACCAACCCACTCTATCTCACACAGCCATGCCCTCTTACGTCCTCAACGTCTCCTTGTAAACACTCAACGTCATGTTCGCAACATGCTGTATCGTCTCCGGTGCAGTCGGCAGGTGATGGCCCCCCGGAAACCTCAGAATCCTCCGCGTGCTCTTCTCCGAACACTGCTCATACAGCTGCTCGCTCGCCGGCTCGTACGGGTCCTCCAGCCCGACCACGTGCACCGTCGGCGCCGTGATCTTCTCCTCGTGCGGCACGAACGGCGGGAACGTGCCGCAGATGAACAGCGCAAACGGCTTCGCCTCCGGCCCCATAAAATCATCGCCCCCGCGCTGGTGCTCGAGCAGCAGGCTCGAGATTGCGCGGCAGCCTTGCGAGAACCCGACGAACCCGGCGAAGGGGCCGTTCTCCTTGATGTATGTCTTGAGGAACGACACGGCGGCGTCCTTCTGCGCCTGGAACTCGTCCGCGGGCGTCGCGGGGTCGTCACTGACCCAGCGCCGGTAGGGCCCGCACCCCTCGAACACGGGGAGTACGCCGGGCCCGGGCGCCGAGTCCATGGGCGCGTCGATGTACACGAAGTCGAAGCGGGCGTCGAGGATGCGCTGCAGCCTGATGAGCTGGATCTGGAAGATCTGGGCGGAGGTGCCCCCGCCGTGGAGGCACAGGAGTCTCGGTTTTTGAGACATTTTCGAGATGTTTGTGATCGGCGAGGATACTCAAGTTGCAATCGATCTGGGTCGTCCTTGGCGATGAAGCGAGTGAGTGACACGTGAATTTGGCGTCGAGGGAGTGACAGATGGATGTGTGAGGTGAGATCTGATCGTGAAGGTTTGCGATACGTGTGCAACTCAATATCGGAGTGAGATTTGAAAAAGTGGGGGCCTTCGGTATGCCTCACCGTTGTTAAACCTCCGATGCCTGCCCCCGTTACATAAGCCACGTCAGCGATGGGATGAGACTGACTCGTTGCAATCAACAACACGTGAGAATAATGTGGAAGGTGAGTGGTTGCGAAGCGGTGAAGAAGGCATTGACGATGAGGAGCATTCCCGATTTTCAATGAGCGGGGCATTCACTTGTGAAACAAAGACTCACGATTCACCTCAAATCCATTAACTAGAATGAGGTAAGATGAGAGTGAGCAAGATGAGTTCAATGCTATACCTCAAATCGTTACTCTAAATGACTATTTCGCAATATGGTGCAGACTCATCTCATCTCCCGTCCGGGCCCGAGAAAACTTCACACAAACATTCCGCGCATCAGCCTCCATCTCCTTGACCGTCATCAACCGCCCCTCAGAAGCAACAACCTGCTCAGACCCCGCAAAGTGGCTCTTGTAAAAGATCAACGGCAAAATGCTGCTTTTCCAAACAGCCTCCTCGTCTCTTAACCGCCAACTCCTTGCAATCATCACACCCAGCAACACCGCCTCCAGCCCAAGCAGCACAGCCGGAAAGGCGAGCCACCCCTTGTCAATGACCACAAACACAACATACCGAAGCGCCTGGCCCTCAACCCCAGACATCGAGCCCTCCTGCCTGCCTAACCCGCGCCGGAGCTGATTCGTCACTGCAGTAGCAATATCCGCGAAACGCCCAGAAACAAGCTCAACCGTCGCGTTGCCCCGATACCATAGCTCAGAGAGCCAGAAGTTGTTCTTGCACCTGAGGTTCCCGTCCTGGAACGCGCTAAAGGTGCAGGTCTCGTTGAACGCTTCGTTCAGAGACGACGACAGCCCGTCCGCGAAGGTCGGGGCGACGCTGTATACGCATTCCGCGGCGTCGGGCGCCCAGAGCGTGGTGATGTTGAGACTGCCGGCCTCAGCTTCCGCCGTGTAGTTTCGTCCGTTGATTACGCAGGGCGTGCGGGAGGCGAGGTAGCTGCCGTTCTTGATCCATTGGTGCTCGACGCCGTCGTACATCGGGTCGTGGTACATGGGAACCTCAGAAACGAGCTTCTCTCTGAGCTGGGTTTTCTGGACCACCCCCGAGTAACTCCGCAGGCAGAGGTACAAAGAGCAGGAGAGTGCCATGCGGGTATGGATGAACGGGGCGCCGTACCTATCTGCGATGGGGCTCTGGCTGGTAAGGACGGTGATGTTAGATAACCCCTGCTTCGCCAGAGATCTAGCTCGCTCAGACATGACGCTGTTAGCCCAAGATAGATCTCCCGAGCCAAACGCCATGCCCGTCGCGGTTCGGCCCGTGGAGAAGTTCATCCCGTTCGGCAACGCTATCGAACTGTTGTTCTCGGCGACGCTGATGAGGGGTGTGACATCCGTACAGATAGAACAAAGACCAGTAGACGCATGTGTAATCTCACCGAGCTCAACCACCGGCGCACCAGACTCGAGCCCCATGAAAGTACAATTCCCAGTCGGACAGATAGGCGCAACAGCAGATTCCACACCTCGGGGACTCTGTATAGCCGTCTGCAGCGTAATCCTCATCCCAGGCCGCATAATCCTCTCAGTCGCCTTCTTGCCATCCTCCTCATCGCGGTAAATCGCCTCAAAGAAGTATGAATCAAGATCGACGCCCTGTGCCGTCGGGATACTCGCAACCTCCCCAGGATCATGCATAGGCCTTTCAACCGTCCCAATAGCCTGCTGTACACACGGCCCAACCGCAAAAGACGCCACAACCACAAAGACAGCCATCACCGTCGCCGGGCTCCTCCACTTAACAACCCCGCCGAGCCTCAGCGCGCCAAGCAGGTCCCGACTCCCGCTGTCGAAGTGCTGCAGATCAATCATCCGCCGCCCGCCCTGCGTGTCGGACCAGAACCACATCCACCGCGCCTGGCAAATCACCTCCGCGGCGACGGCGGCGACGCTCGCGCGAAAGAGCGTCGAGAGGATGTTGGCGAGGGCGTTGAGGGTGATGGGCAGCGTCCAGTCGCGCTGGGGCTTGCCGTCCTGCGAGAGGGTGGTGGCGAAGATGGCTGCGAGGAGGCAGGCGGCTGTGAGGAGGAGGGCGATGTCTGGGGCCCACGGTCTGAAGACTGGCTGTGTGGTCTCGTTCGGTCTGGGCAGGGGTTTGGACTCCTTACGGATTGAGAAGTCTTGGAATAAGGTCGAGACAGGCGGGGTTTTGCTTTTGAGGTCGTCGTTGGTAACGCAGACGGGGTGGGCTTTCTTGGATGTGAGGTCTTGTTCGTTTTCGGGTTGCGCTTCACCGGCGCTCATCGAGAAGTTCCTGACGAGTGGCTCTTCAAGACTTTGGCTTGCATTGTGGCGACGTGGACGTGATTCCTGGTCCAGCGACGGGGGACCTGAGTGGGCTCCAATGCCAGACTTTCGACGATATTTGTCAAACATCTCGTGGCGTTCTTATTGGAGCTACATCGAGACTAAGTCTTGCAAAGCTTCAGTTTTCTGGGGAGCTCGTTATTTTAGACTCGGAATGGGCTGTTCTATTGATGTGGCAGCAATCGACAGGGCAAACTTGCTGTGCCGTAACCCCTGATTGGAGAATCCTATTTTCAACCAGCAATCCATCTGCCTGCAAGCCGATACGACGTCTACAAGGGTACTTGAACCCAGTCACCAACTTCTAGTGCTTATTATGGGCTCTTGGCATCACAAGCATCGGCCGCTAGGAACCTGGACTTGAGAATGACACGGCTCGTCTTCGCTTGGGAGGTGATCATTCATGAAAATACTAAAGCGACATGTTGTTCCATCACTATGGCTCTTCCATCTCACTCGCATTGAAATTTAACTGCTTGCGTGAGGTAATCTCATTGTAGGGCGTTTTGAATGGCTCTTACTCACTCATTCAATTCAAGTTTGTTGATGTACAGATACGAAGGGCTGAATAGCCATGTTGGTGTTTGTCGAATGATGTTGTGATACGCTGGGCATCGCAAACAAACCTCAAGATTTATGCCGAGTTACTTTCATTAAACCCAACTTATGCTTGCCGCCAGCCAAACACTTGACAAAATGAACGCCCTCCTAACTATGCTTGCCGTACATAATCCAGGTGAATCGTGAACTCAATGGCGGTCCAAGATGCTGGATACCATCCTCGCATTATCGCTTCTCTTTGCTTCTTGAAGTTCTGGATTCAAGCGGAATTCCTCTTCCGATAGTTGCCCAAGCATTGGCTACGGGGGCTCCTCTATCTTCAAAATCATTCCGAAATCATTCCCCTCAGCCCAAACATACTCACGCCGCAACATTAGACGTAATCGGAGGACACTCAAAGAAACTGTCGTAGTCCGAAAATTTATATGCCGCAGATCGCCGTTCAAATCATTCGCAGGAGGCATTCCAGTTAAAGCTATTCAGAAGCCTGCCGACATCGGCCATTACCCCTACATCAGGCCCAGAAGTTCCCCACCGACGCTGCGACAGTGTTCAGCACTGTGGACTGATTGTGGACTACGGAGGTAAGATCTTGCATATTGCCCCCCTGGATAGCTTATTTTCTACCTTATTTTCGTCCCCGTCGATCGGTTGGAATCCACATCATGCAGCAGCATGCAGTAGCATCACATATAATTCGGATACAAGGAAGACTAATCGCTAGACACATGTCGCTTTTTATGCAGCAGGACAGGACTTTCGGTGACATCATGCCTACATGCAGTTACGTCCAACACAACCTAAGACCAGTAACGCCCAGGCAGAATGACCAGCTGCTGGCAAATTAAACACTACAACTAGAAATGCTTTCTACATCTATTACAAAACAAAAAGAAGAAAAATACAGCCCGCAATATTTTAGGGCCATCCAGCAGCCCAGAAGAAAAGGAGGGACCGGTGTGTTGGAGGGCATTTAGTCGGCATCCGCGCGCGACAACACCCAGGCGTCGATGGTAACGAACCCCTGGTCCCTCTCGACATTGGTGACTCCGACAATCATCAGTTGATTGACCCAGTAGTACGCATCTACACCGGTCTCAAGCGTCAGGTACAAGATGCCTTTGCCGTTCGGCGCAGGCCCCTCAGCGCGAACGAAAATGTTGGCGCCGTCGTTCGTTTGAAACTGAAACAGCGTGATTGCCTCGAATTGGCCACGGGCGTCGAGAAGGCCCCAGTCGGCACCGACAGGAAGTACGACACCTGTTGATGACCTTATTAGCCGATTCTAATCCGCCAAAGTGGTGAAATACTTACCAGTGAGCTTCGGCCCTTCGAAGCTTCCTCCAGTAATCGGATCAGAGAATCTGTTGCCTCGTGGTCCCACACCAAAGTTAACGGATTGGCCCAGGGTCATCTTCAGCTGGAAGAGGAGCTCGGCATTTGGAACCAGTGGGCCGGCATCTTTGTGGGTGGGAACTGCATTGGTAACGGCCGCAAACGAGGACAACAAGCCGGCGGTGGCGAGGTAAAAGATGTTGGAGGGCAGCATTATGATTAGCGTGATTAATGTGATCTGGCTGGAATAAATAAAGACGCTGGTTAAGTATGTGATCGAATTATAGATGTAACTGGTCAGAGCTTTGAAGGATTGAAGCTGGCTTCGTGGTCCTTTATGTGTACAGTCAGTCCACCCGAATGTTTAGATTTCGGATGGCATGCGTTCCGCGATGGTGTCGCTGCGTGCCTTTTCTTGGCAGACCCAAAATCGCGGTAGCAAAAAACGTTTCCTTGCCGTTGGAATTTCATTCATAGGCTGGGTTGAAAAGGTTTTCAACGCCGGCGGCGGTAAAGCAAAACTTAGCAGTCGGCAAGCCACTGCGCAGGGAATGTGCTTCTTGTCATTGCAAGTCAACCGGCGGGCCGCACGTTAAACGTCAAATGTGCAAAATGGTGGGATGAACGGTGCCAGTACCGCATAGAGAACTTCTAGAAGCGCCAAGCCGGCTCCTGCTTGAGGCTTATTTAGACTTCCGGCCAGAATGCAGGCACGCCATTGGTCGTCTGCGTGGTTGAGGTCATGGATGACGGCGCTCAGAGCCACATGTTGTAGGTTTGACTTGCAGCCGTGAGTTCGGGCCGGTGAGAGGGCTGGCCGACACGTGCGCAGGTGAGCAGCGAGGATGCTGCGAGCCTGGTGACGAGCATTGGCCGTTGGCTCGGACATCACGGCGCCCAGTTGAATTTTTTTCCCCTCTTTGCATGTAAATTTCAAATTTTCCTGGCAATTTCATTTTGAGCATCAATGACATCAGCCGGGCCAACAAGCTTTAGAAAAATCATGTCTGAAAAGCAGGAACGAGTGTTGTGCAGCATTTCGAATGTCAAGACAAATTGAAACCATAAGGGCCATAGTCGTCTAAGGTAACCAGACACTGACTTCAATTCTTCAACCCTCGCAACGCTTCCCACCCATGCTCCAACATACTGTACCGAATCACATCATGCCACTGGCGGTCGAACCAAAACGCCTGTCGATCCCGCCCCTCCTCGACAAACCCCAGCTTGAGGTACAGACTCTGCGCCCGCTCGTTGAACGATGAAGTCGCAAGACGAACACTGTGAAATGCCCCGAACCGAAATGCCCAGTACAGAGCCGAGTTGATCGCCTCCCTGCCGTAGCCCTGGTTCTGATACTCAGCAGCAAGACTGATCCCAATCGTCGAAGATTGATGATGGAACTGGTCCCATTGAGGGGCGCCTTCCCATCCGACAATCAAGATCCCAATTGGAAACGGGCTCATCTCCATCCTTCTTGCTGATGTCAATTTCACCGTCAGGCGTATTCTCGCTTTCGGCACCGGGTTCCGAGGCGGGGAGGTAGAGTGTGACACTGAGGACGGCCTTGGTCAGGCCCCCCGCAACCCCCTCGGCGTGCTTTTGGATTTGGGGTCTAAGCATCCATGGTTGCGCGAGGGCGGAGAGGACTGGGTCAGCCCCGATATGCTCGTAGATGAACCTTATCTGTGGCTCGCTGCTGTCGAATGCGCGAATGAGCAAGCGCTCGGTTTTGAAGCCGTTGGCGACGCCGTTGGTGATCATTATTACTTGGCCCTTGTTGCGGCTTCTAATCGATGTTTGGAGTGTGTGAAATTTGCAGAATGCTAAGATCTTTGTTGGACGGATAGCCCATGGAGGAGCATGGCGAGGAATCACTTATTATGCTGCGAGGGGCTCCAGACAATTTAGAAAGTTATGTTTTTGATACGAAAGTCATATATGCTGACTGCTGCCTTAGCGCTTACATTGCTGTTGCCGTGATGTCCTGAGTTACAACATTGATGTTTATAGGCTGCATGAGTTGGTAGAAGTTCCAAATGCAGTGATCAACGGTTTGAGCTGGATGCCTTTCGCATGCATGGATCAGTGAGGTGCATCTTACGATGTAACTAGTTCAGAGCAATCGTCTGTTATTCGGTAGACATAAAGGTAATCACCATGGAAAGTCCGATGCACCAAAGATCTCTAGCCCATTTCATTAACGTCGGAATCTCAGACTAAACCGTGTTTCGAAGCTCGTAAATGACCAGCATTGACAGGGGTCCAAATGCAAATGCCTACCTATGACATTGAAAGAGTGGTGATAGGCCATGACTCTGCAATCAACTCTGACAAGTTATGGCAGTTCGAGGGAAAATGTTGGTTAGCACTGCGAGGCCAATACCCAAGAACGTTCGTGAAAGTAGGCAAGTAGAGAAGAGATTGCCGCTGATTTGTAACTTAAGCTTTGGAATCCGTGTTCATACGTCATATTGAATACTTGATTTGATAGACTGGACGTACAACAATGGAGCTCTGCGTATCCCACCGGCTGCTCAAGGCCACGAAAAGGATAGAAATGGGTATTAAATAGGCGAGATGGAGTAGTGCGACGCAATCAGTGGGATACTCTGCCAACGAAGTTTACAATATGAGATGCCGTGAATGCTGAAGCCGGCATCTCGCGCGAAACTACTGGAGCGAAAAGGATGTTGCTGCTGCTGCTGTTGGCATAAGGTACTATCCATCCTCCTGGTGACTTCCTGCCTGCCCTCACTTCCCCCTGCGTCTCCTGCCCTTCTCGCGTTTCGTCGACCAATCGCCGAAGAACATTACAGAGCATAGACGTGCACCCGCGGACAGATCTGTGCCTTCGGAAACGGACCCTTGCTTCCTCCATTCGCGCCTTCCCTCCAGCAGCTCGCTCTGAACAATACTTCAACTACCTCAACGTCCATCTATTTTCTTCCAGCATCCAACTACACAAATCATTCAGTTCTCAGTAGATCACCCAGATTCGACACATACCGTTCTCATCATGTCTCAGCCGACGCCGCCATCTACATCAAAGTCTGGTCCAGATGAAGCTCACGGGCCACATACCATGGATGACGAGGCAGCGATCTCACCCAGCGACCCAACAACCGGATACAAGTTCAACCACACGATGCTTCGCATCAGAGATCCTGCGCGTTCGTTGCACTTCTACATCGACTTGATGGGTATGCGAACCGTGTTCACCATGAATACCGGCCCATTCACCATCTACTACCTCGGGTACCCGCAAACAACTGAGCACCGCGCCGACCTTGCAAGGTTTCGCGAGGACACGGTAGCCAGGCTTCCAGACACACTGGGACTCTTCGAGTTGTACCATGTTCATGGCTCGGAGAATGAGCCTGAAGGGTATCATAGCAACGGAAACCAGCCACCGAATCTGGGCCTTGGGCATCTGGGGTTTTCCGTCCTGGATGTGCCACTCGCACTTGAGCGCCTGAAGGCCCATGGCGTGGAAGTCATCAAGGATTTGGGCAGCGCAACTCGAGAAGATGTCCCGTTGAGTTCATGGGAAGCTGGACGTGGCATCGGGCTGGGAGATCTCACTTCAGCCTACAAGAACGTCTTCGAGCAGATTGCATTTGTCAAGGGCCCGGTAAGCCCCCATTGTTCGCATTCTGAGAATACAAGTCCGCCATACAAAAAGCACATTAGATACAGCTGCTGACGATCAACTGTACTGCTAGGATGGATATATCGTGGAGCTTGTCACTCAAAATCTTCAAGGGCTATGAATCTGCCCCAGGTTAATAGCCTTCAAGTTGATGTCTCTTCGCAGTTGCTTATTTAACGCGACCAGTCTAAGAGGACGAGTAGTAAAACTACATACCCGAACCAACAAAATTAGCTCCGGGCAGAGATTGAACCAAATTCCTTCCGTTGGCAGGCAAGTTACGCAAAGAAGGCAAGGCAGCAATGCTGTGAATTGATAACATATGAACCTTACACTCTGCCTCGCCCCTTGTTTCGTTCCATTGGTGTCTTTATCAGTGACCATTCATGAAAGGCGCATCCCTGAGAGCGTCTGCCTGGATGGACCAAGCGCGTTTCCCCAATCGCACAAGATCTCCTCCAAAATCTCGTAATATTTCTTCCGGCGACCGCTCCTCTTCGTCCAACTCCCGTAACATTGCGCCGGTCCCTTCTACATCGAGCGTAGCAGCCCGCCAGATCTGCTTCCACCTTTCAATTGCAACAGCGGCCTCTGGGTTCTGGCTCTGCACGCCTGCAGCGATCATATAGAACGACGAGCGCTTCGTATGTCCCTTTGTCGGTTTGAACAGAAACACTTTCTTACAAAACTTGCTGAATCGGTACAATTGAAGTACCGTTGTCCAAGCCTCCACCTTGTGAAATAGCACGACCATTGTGCCGCCAGGATTAGCCGCTCAAGCCCCAAGGCGAGCTGGCTTGTCGTTAACCGGCGTGGCTCTGTCCTTTTCCTATAGTCGTCCACTTGGTGCTCGCGGACGACTGAGCTGCTGCATATAACAAGGTCAAACTTCTGACCAGGCTCGAATTGACGTGGCAAGAACTTGTCGGCATCTGGATGGTCTGTCGGGATGTTTTCGAAGCCGAGGTCTGCCGCTAGCATCGTCACGTCAAGGTATCTTACGTCGATGTCTTCGCTTTTCGGGACAAGACTTTGGTAACCGCCATCAGCAGTTGGCAGACTGAATCCGATAGCTTTGGCGCCGGAATTCTTGTTCAACCTCATGGCGGTCGCGAGAAAGCCGCCCGGCGCCATGCCCATGTCAAGTATTTGTGGGGAGTCCGAGGCTGGAGACTTGATCTTCAGAGCGCCTGTGGTGTGCTGCATCTCGGTGCCAATCCGCTTCATCATGTCGTAGAAGGATAACTTGGTACTCGTTTTGGGATTGGTGGCTCTAGCACGCTGTTGTTGAAAAAAGCGATCGCCGGCCGGATTTTCCCATCCCTGTTGACGCCGATGGTCAGTACCAGTCATGGAGAACGAGACACGGAGCGCCACCGTGATTCACGTAGCCGACGTACAATTTTGCGGAGTTCGCTTAGTTCAGCAAACTCTGGCGAGTGTTGGGTCAAGTACTGCACGATGACAGCACCAGGAGTGCCATGTTCCATATCTTCGGAGTCGGTCGCAGCGATGCGAACGCTGTCCAATTCTTCTGTTGGCATCTCGGCTTTGGTTGTGTTATCAGTAGTGGTATTCATCGAAAAAGGTCGACATTTGACATGTCAGGAGAAACTGGAGTATCTGGAGAATTGAGGAGAGTTTGACATTTAAATCTTGGTCTTCTGACAGTCACAGGAGAAACCGTGAAGAATGAGGTCGTATGTCAAATGATCTGCGAGCTGCTTTGGGCCTGCATGCATGAAGCCAATCACTCGCCCCAAAGCCCACAAGGTTCAGTCGGCCTCCCGCGTCTACTGACCGCCAATGGCATGATAACACGCCTTTGAGTCTGAGCATACTACAGATTAGTGAATGATACAAAAAAGAAAAAAAGGTCTCAGATTGGGTTTTGGCAGGACAATGCACCAACAAAGTCCAAATCGATGTCAAGATGGGAGATGCGAGGTTGAAAATGTTTAGTAGCGCAAAAACGACTATGTTGTGTGATGTTCCTTCACATGGAAATTACTGCAGAAAGATAAAACAAAACGAAAAGCTAGCAACAAGCATGAAACGGGAATTGTCATCCTTTGATGAAAGTAGCCCCTTCCAGCGCCTCAGCCTGCGTCTTCCAAATGTTTTTGCCTAGCCTGATGAGCTGATCCCCAAACTCATCAATCACGTCTTTCGCACTCGGCTCCTCCTCCCGCCAGTTGTGCTTCATCTCCCCATTCAAATCAAATGTAGAAACCCTCCAGACCTCTTTCCACACCTTGACAGCCGCAGCAGCCGCCGCGCTCTGACTCTGGACTCTGCTCGCAATCATGTAGAATGATGAGCGCTTTACGTGGCTCCTCGAAGGCTTGAAAAGCCGGACGGTTGAGAATTTGCTGAAGTCCCGCAACAGAAGCACGGTATCCCATGCTTCAACCTTGTGCAGCAAAACAACCATTGTGCCGCCAGGCTGAAGGTGCTCTAGCCCAATGGCAAGTTGAGTGACCGTCAATCGCCGCGCTTCGCATTTCTCTCGGTACTGCGCCCTGTACTCCCCGTGCTGGCGAAGAACCTGCCCGTCACAGAGGATGAGATGGAACTTGTCTTGTGGGCCCAGCTGCTGCGAGATGAAGTTGCCAGAGTCAGGGTGATCTGATGGAATGTCTGTGACCCCCATATCCTGCGCCAGCATCGTGATGTCCATGAACTTGACGTCCACGTTTCTGGTGGGTGGAAGTAGAGGCTTGTGCCCGCCCTGCGAAACGGGGAGACTAAACCCAAGAGCGAGTGCATCTGGATTTTTCTCGAGAGCCACCGCGAGGAACCCTCCAGGCGCCATGCACATGTCCAAGATGCGCTTCTGTCCCAGTGTTGGCCCCTTGATCTTCAACGCCTGGGTTTTTCGGTGCAGCTCTGTCCCTATGCCTTTCATCATGTTGTAAAAGACCGCTGACAACTTTTCGTCGGCATGGTCTGCAGCCTCTCGCTGCTTGCGGAAGTATGTGTCGCCGGCTGGATTTTCCCATCCCTAAGAGCACATTGTCAGCAGATGCGAACCCAAAAAAGTGAAGAACACAGGCAGGTGATACCTTTTTTCGAACTGCGCTGAGCCTGGCGAATTCCGGCACGTTCGTACGGAGAAACTCAAGGATGATATCGCCTGAGCGCTCAAATGTGTCTGTCTCGGCGTTTTGAGGGTCGGAGTTGAGGCTTAGAGTATTTGCATTCTCGCAGAGATGAGCAACAGCTACCTCGTCTTCCGGCATGTCTCTCCGGGGGGCAGATATTTGGTCTAGGTCGCTTTGCATGACGGCGGGTTCCAGAGTCGATTGAGGCATGGTTTCTCTGAGGACGAAGTACTCACACGGCGAACAAAAACCACCATTTATAGGTTTTCGATTGATCTCATCAAACGACTCAAGAGTTGGGTGGCTGTTCGGATACTTGATACACTTTCCTTTTTAGAGGCCATTTTGGCGACCCTACCAACCAACGTTGCCGGGCGGCCTCCAGCATATGCTGGAGGCCACGATGGAACCAACACCTGTACTTCTCAATGAATCATGATTGTGAGATGCCACAAAGTGGCCAAGTGAACATCGAGCTGATTCTGTTCTGTGGATCTTTATTGCTAGACCCTGGTCCAGTCTTGCTTTCATTCGATGCCTATGCAGACAAAGGTAACCATCTTCAGCCTCAGCGTTCTCCGACTGAGATTCGCCAACCTTCTGGAATTCAAACCCAACTGTGCTGGAGCCTGCTGGTGTTTTGTCTCATCCAGTCTGTGACCAAATCCCCGACCGCTGAACTCAGCCCCGAACACTGGGCCCCGAGAATCCCCGGCTACCGCCCGGACATAAGCCGTCTTCAGACCATCAAGTGGGGAACCACCTGACCCGGGACCGCGAAGGATTCGGTTGTCCCACATACGGAGCATAAACACAGCCACCGATCCGAATCACCAACCATCTAAAACAACCAGGACCCATCAGCGTACGCAGCCTGACTTTCAATTCTTCCACTTCAACACCAACCTGCAACAGCCACTGAACCAATCATGGCTTCTCGCATTCTCCACCCCGGCGCTTCCCCTCTTCTCCTCGCCCCCCTCCTCTCCTCAACCTGCACCCTTCTCTACGCCCACGACCAACACTTCTTCTTATCCTTGTTCAATCATCCCACAGTCCGCACCCACTCAAAGCCTCTGATAAACCCCTACTACAAAGAATTCTTCTCCCGCGGGCTCCCAATCGTGCTCAGCCTCCTCGCTATCTCCGCTGGGACGGCTCTTGCCAACTTACGGGTAAACCAGACCGTACTTCAAACCAAGGGCACCTTTTGGTGGTACGTCGCGGGCGCGGGTCTGTCACTGGGGCACTTGGCTTATGTCCCGTTCATCGCGCCGCATGTGCAAACGCTTGTGGAAGGAAAAGAGGGGGAGGATTTGAATGGGGCACTGGATAAATGGTTGATTGTGAACTGGAGAAGGATGTTGACGGTGGATTTGGGGGCTTGGGTTGCCTTTGTATGTGCTGCTCTTGGTACGTTGAGGATATGAATGTTGTGAATTAGCTTCAAATCACGCATCAAGATTCAAAACACGCAACATGACATGGTCCTCGGCAGCCAGCAGAGCATGCATGCCTCCGGTGCCACTCCCGCGTCCACTCGCTAGCGCGATAGCTAACCCACAGTCTGTTCACCGTAACTTTCATGATGGATATTTCTTGGGACTAGTGATTAGGCAACCTTTCAGCATCTCTATCTTTATCCCATCAAATGCCACATGACGCCAGAGACCCCTGGTGCGGAGTAGAGCCAATCAATGTACACCGAGCGACGCTAAGGATTTTTTTAGACCAACGAAAAATTTCATAGACTCTAGAATTGGGGTAAAATCGGGGCGTTTTGTGGGTAGGACTTTCTGGCGTCATGTGGCATTTGATGGGATAAGGCAGCATTGCCGTGGCAAGATGACGGTGCTGTGTGTGCTAGGGACTTGGGCCAATTAGAGGTCACTCCACTTGCTGCCTGATCAACTCGTGCCCGAATGCACATCAATCACACCATGGCGGAAATCACCTCGCGTAATTCGGCATATGGTAGGGCTTTCCTCCGCTAAATTCTCCTTCCCTGGAAAAATACCATTGAAGTACTCGACTAGCCATATTTCACTCTCCGACATCCCATTTTTAAATTTTCTTTTCTTTTACCATAGATACCTGAATTCATCTCGACATGGGCGCAAAAGATCGCGAGCGTAATTGTTTCCAAATAACGTGGCCTACAACTCTACCCGAATGTCGAGGCATCTGCCGCTATGCCGATGGCCTCCACGGTTTCCGCAGGCATCTCGACTTGGATAGGATCGACAAAGACGCCAATTGCGGTTGCCCGAGATGTATGATCATATATCGCAGCTGTTATGAGTTCAAAAAATGGGCACACGGAATCGATAAAGTCGGAGTTTATTGTCGTGCCGATCACCCTGGCATTTTCCGGGTTGGATTATTTGATGATCACGGCCTCACCACTAGGTCTCTGGGAGACGTCCAACTGTACGTCGTGGTAGGGTCGTCAAAACCGTCGTGGGACTACATTAAATCTGCGCGGACCCCCACAATCGCACGGCGTGAAGAGTTTCAGCAAATACTCACCCCCTGGATCATACACTGCAATAAGATACATGAAGGCTGTATGACGAAGGGTGCAAAACTTCCGAGTCGTGTCCTTTTTGTAGGCAGCGAGCTTGAGCCTCACTTGTTTCTTCATGTCTCCTCAGAAGAGGACACCGGCGAATACTTGGCCCTCAGCTACTGCTGGGGACAGCCACATCCGCCAAAGACCATGGCATCAAATCTCTCGAAACATGAGAAGGCCATCGATTTCGCCAACTTACCCAGAACTTTCCAAGACGCCATAGTTGTAGCCCGGGCCATCGACATCCGATACTTATGGATTGATTCTTTGTGCATCCTGCAAGATCAGCCTTCAGATTGGCAAGCGGAGTCTTCAAAAATGGCCGCTTATTACAGAGATGCTTTTCTAGTGATTGCCGCCCCCGACGCTAGCAATACCGCCGAGGGATTCCTTGACATTGTGAAGGGCCGTTCGCCGAGGAGCTCACTCAGTATTGGCGCTGAGATTGGGCATATTAGGAACCCAGATGGCAGCATTTCGCACATTTTCAAAAGGGAATTAGATGGTTGTTTTCGAGACCGTCATGAGCATCCCATCAGAAGCGCAAATCTCAACAGTCGAGCATGGGCTCTACAAGAATACCTGTTGGCCAAACGAATTGTCCACTTTACTAACGGGGAGATTCTATGGGAATGTGTCGAAGACTTGAAATGTGAATGCATGGAGGTAGACCATGCCCCCACGTCTGAGCCGTCGTCGCGCATTATGAGGAAATCGCAATTCATACCCCTCTGCCTAAGCCTGGGTGGAAATCAAATCAATTTCCACGAACTCTGGCTGGATTTTGGGAGGATCACATTCTTGATTCCATGACCTGGCAAGTAAGGGGAGCACGCAGGCTTCAGCGCTCAAAGGGGTATCGAGCGCC